ATGCCTGATGTGTTTTGGACGTAATCTCGTCTTTGTTCACATTAGCATCGCTAACACTCAGAGCTAATCTGTACTGGAGAGCACATGTGTTTTAAAAAGCAGGAAATAAAGAAAGGAACTCACCTTGTGATAAACCCGCAAGAGAAAAAGCATTTGAGCTCCATACTGTTTCAGAAATAATCCTTGATGTGGTTTAGAACAGGATGAAGTTTTATCACAGCAGAATTGAACTTTATCAAATCAAAGAACTCCACTGGCTTCCCGTTTCACACCGCTCCATTACTCCCGGTCCTCACTTACAAAGCCCTCCACCATTTGGCCCCCCCTACCTCACTGACCTCCTCATCCTCTGCCATTCCCCCCGGACCCTCAGATCCACCTCAGCCGGTTTGCTTTCCACCCCCAGGGCCAAACCTCGGAGCTTTGGGGACAGAGCCTTCTCTGTGGCAGCCGCCGAAGCTCTGGAAGTCCCTCCACCAAGACCTCCGTGAGTCTGAGTCCCTCACCCTGTTCCAGTCCCGCCTCAAAACCCACCTCTTCAACTCTGTCTGTCCATAAGCCCCCCCCCCTTTCAATCAACTTCCTCTTGACTGCCTTTACTGTTTAAATGTAATTTGTTTTGTTTTGTTTTGTTGTTTTTGTTTGTTTTTGCCCGTCCTTGTTTGTCTACCCTCCTTCACACTGTACAGCGTCTTTGAGTCCGAGAAAAGTGCTATATAAGTATAATTTATTATTATTATTATTATCTATTTAATAGTGCTGTCAAACGATTACAATTTTTATCAGATTAATCACGGTTTAAAAATTAATTAATCAGATTAATCACCATTCGAACTATGTCCAAAATATGTCATTTCTTTATGTGTATTGTTGTTATTATTATTATTATTATTATTATTGTTGTGGGAATGGAAAGATAAATGAAAGAAGAGTTAAATGCAACAGTAAGGCTATTTTTATCATCGTCAACATGAATATTAAAGTCACCTACGATAATTACTTTATCTGTTTTAAGAACCAAAGCTGATAAAAACTCAGAGAATTCTGATAAGAATTCTGAATAAGGACCTGGTGCACGGTCGGTACACTGTAACAAATAAGATTGGCTGCAAAGTTTTCCAGGTCGGATGCGTAAGACTAAAAACGAGGCTTTCAAAGGAGGTATAATTTAATTTTTGTTTAGTATTGATAAATAAACTTGAGTCAAAGATGGCTGCAACTCCACCTCCTCGGCCCGTGCCTCGAGGAATATGAGTATTGATATGGCTGAATGGTGTCATTCTAAGTATTGTATTATAGCTATTCCATTGAATTACTTTAAAACTATATACCATACCATATAAGTAGTCAGAATGAGCTCCACTAAATATAAATATATATATACAGCCCTATATATAGAGAAAACATAATTAGTGTATACCTGAGTGTTAATAATGTATCCATTCTTTTGTTTATAATATTACTATTATTTTACCATTTCTTTTTGGATTTGTCATCTGTTAATCTATGTACCTAGATGTGTTTCTTTTGTTATGTGTGCTCTGTGAATATTTTCTTAAAATGCAAATACAAATTGTGAAAAGAGTTGCACGGTAAATAGGAGAAAATGTCATAGTTTGTGTTGACATCTCACCGCAATAGATGGTGTTAGCGGCGAGGTCGTGGATGCGGTAGCTCCTGGTGAACATCGCACCAAGACCCAGGATGAGGATGGGGTAGACGGTGAAGGTGTAGCGCATGTACTTAGTCAACAGGAAGCTCTGCAGGATGAACCTGAAAACAAATTAAACCTTTACATAAATGTTATCCACAAACCAATCAGATAATTCTTTACTGTTAAACACGTGAACGTTTGAAAGAACATCCATAACATTCATCTGTTTGCAACTTAGAATTATTGTATCTAATATATCATAATCCAATTACTTGTATATAGACTCTTCTTCATTTGTATTTACTTGCTTAATCTGTTGTATTGTGTTGCATTGTGGGAGGAGCCTGTGACCTGAATGTCATTGACGTATCTACACTGTGTACAAATGACAATGAAAGCCTTGAATCTTGAAATCTCCAGTTGTCCTCACCAGGTTGTTGTGATCAGTGAGAGTACGATGAGGACGACGGTGCTGACCAGAGGGTCCGAAATACCGGCTTTATACTTCAGCAGGATGCCAAAACCCAGAATAGCTTTCAGGAGAGTCCACCAGACAAACAAAGCCAGGCCGTTCTGGGTCTGCCACAATGAAAAAGCACAAGATAATGTATAGAAACAGCGTTTAAAGAGTCCTCTCCTGCTGATGTTCAGGTGTATATCAGTATGTAGTGTCTCTACTTTAAAGAGTCCTCTCCTGCTGATGTTCAGGTGTATATCAGTATGTAGTGTCTCTACTTTAAAGAGTCCTCTCCTGCTGATGTTCAGGTGTATATCAGTGTGTAGTGTCTCTACTTTAAAGAGTCCTCTCCTGCTGATGTTCAGGTGTATATCAGTATGTAGTGTCTCTACTTTAAAGAGTCCTCTCCTGCTGATGTTCAGGTGTATATCAGTATGTAGTGTCTCTACTTTAAAGAGTCCTCTCCTGCTGATGTTCAGGTGTATATCAGTATGTAGTGTCTCTACTTTAAAGAGTCCTCTCCTGCTGATGTTCAAGTGTATATGTAGTGTCTCTACTTTAAAGAGTCCTCTGAGCAGCCCACCAGGTATCGTGTCCACCAGATCACATTTTGGTTGCTGCTGACCAGTCGTTCTTTGTGCTTGTCGAGGTTGGAGTAGGACATGCAGAGCATGTTGAAGCTGAGGATCGGTAGGGTCCACTCGAGGACAACTGCTTCACAGATATCACTGCAGAAAGCAACAGCAGCTTTCATTACTTCTGCACACACACACACACACACACACACACACACACACACACACACACACACACACACACACACACACACACACACACACACACACACACACACACACACACAGAGACACACACACACACACACACACACACACACACACACACACACAGAGACAGACAGACAGACAGACACATTATTTTTTAAGTTTGGAGCATTGGCACTACTTACTGTCTGTCCCAGAAAGCCATGCTGCACATCCTAGCAATGTTAACCAAAGTCCAGATAAAGAAAAAAGCCGGTGGGTGGATTTCTGGATAGCAAGACTCAGGACCGTGGGCATTCCTGCAGATGGAACGAAAAAACTGTGTAAATCAAAGTTAACTTTATTGTCAATCTTCTCGTGTACACACAGAGTGATCGAAATACCGTTTCCCACTAAATCTACACGCCTACTGCTCTTCATCTTGGTTTTCACTTTCTTTGGTTAATTTGTTCTTGTTTTAATTCAGCAGGTGAATTTATATGTTCATAAAGTTGTGTGTGTGAGCTTAACTCCGTGTATTTATTTATTTATTTGGTTTGTCATCTTATCTTTTCTTGATTACCATGTACCTCTTTTATCAAAAATCTAAAATGTCTGCTTTTTTAAACTATGTGCTCCTGGACACCATTTATTAGTTATTTTTCTCACATTCCCCTTAAATCCATTAGTACTACAGAGGGTCTCAAATCCAAGAAATTCAACATGTGAATAATGGTACCTTTTAAAGAGGCCGACCACTGCGTACACGAGCCACGCCATGCACCAAATGTCCACGATAACCCAGAATCTCTCCGACCACCAGTCCATCGTCACCTCCAGAGGGAAGGACTCAAAAACATTCTTGGAGGAGGTCTGAAACAGAGCTGAGAGGAAACACACAGGTCTACTGAGTTCACATATACACCCGCTGTAATTAACATCCTATCAGTGTAGATTATAATGTGTGTGTGTGTGTGTGTGTGTGTGTGTGTGTGTGTGCCAGGTCAAGTTCTTGTCCTCTAAGGACTTTCACGGCAAAGATATTTCAGTAATTAAAGTACACGTGCCGACTAAAGACTCCTTAAATGTCCATCCATCCATCCATCTTCTCCCGCTTATCCGTGGTCGGGTCACGGAGGTAGCAGTTCCAGCAGAGAGCCCCAAACTTTCTTTTCCCTGGCCACATCAACCAGCTCTGACTGGGGGATCCCAAGGCGCTCCTGGGAGCGCCTTGGGATCCCCCAGTCAGAGCTGGTTGATGTGGCCAGGGAAAAGAAAGTTTGGGGCTCTCTGCTGGAACTGCTACCTCCGTGACCCGACCACGNACACACACACACACACACACACACACACACACACAGGTATCTTCTCTGATGCTGCACACACACACACACACACACACACACACACACACACACACACACACACACACACACACACACACACACACACACACACACACACACACTCATGCCTTTTGTAAAGCAGGAAAATAGCAAGTTATTATTGCCATCATCTTTGAATAGATGCGAGAAATTGCAGAAAATAATCCCATATCACGCAGCCAGCAATTAAATACAAACGTAGAAAATTGCTTTCTTTTTTAGAGAGAGGTGATGCATGTTTTAAAGTATGATATATATTATAGTAGGGGCGTAAGAGAAGCTAATGTTAAAGGAAACAATTATCTGTTATGGGCTCAGCACAGAAATCTCGTGGTGTTTGTCGAATGTTGTTTTTATATCACTCCGCAATTGCCAAAAGAAACTCAACACTTTAGAATCACATCCTTATTTTGGTGTGTAATATAGTGGAGGAATCAAGCATGGCATATTGATCCTCAGCCAATAGTTGTGCTGTATTTAAGTGAGACGAAGGTATCACCAATCTGAGTGCATTTAACGTCACGGTCCAGTGAAAACCATGTATCTCCAGATTTGCTCATTTTGAATTATTGTAGAATTAAAAGTTAAAGAAGGATTCAGAAACTTCTCTTAATTCAATTTACAGGCTTACTTTAACATGCTAACATGCGCTAAATGACAATTAGCATGTTAGTGTGCTATCATTTGCTAATTAGCTCTAAACCGAGGGTGCGTCTAATGCAGATATTTGATCATAAACAATGAATGAAAGCTTTGACTTGATGACAATGCTAATTTATTAGTGTTTAGTAGGTTTAATGTTTACCAACTTAACCATGTGAATTAGCCATGTTAGCATGCTATATCTTGCTAATTAGCTTCAAACAGAGTTCAGCTGATGCAGGTATTTGGTGATAGAAAGCATATGAAAACTTTGATTTGATGACGGCGCTAGATGATAAATTAGGGGATAACTAACGTTTGTACAAAAACCTGATTTGGACATGAATGTGTTGCTTCTCCTTTTGCGATATTTCCCAGAAAAAAAACAAAGTTGCAAAGGTAAAGTCAGTGGGATCACCAAAAACCATTAAATCCACTGGACTCCATGGATATTATTTAAGCAATAGCTCACGACAGGCCGTGGTATATGGTAATTATATCACAGCTAAGGGGCGTGGTTCGGCCCGACCATAGACTCGACGCGAAGCATGCAGTTTGCTTTTCAGCCCAACTGTATACAGTTAAATCGACCGGACTTCTTTCTGCATGTGAGCGTCCTTAACAACGGTCAATAAGTCCTTGCTGCACATTATCCCTTACGGCCCGTCCACACTACAGCTTCGACAGCTTCAAAAACGGTTTCCAACGCGTCTGCCCATTCACTTTGAATGGGGTGACGTCACGTTGCCTCGCTTTTCGCCGAACTGCATTGTGGGTAGCAGAGCGGAGCTTTCCTGGCGTTTCAGGCAGAAGTTGAGCAATGTTCAACTTTTGAAGCTTCTGAAGCTTTCGGTGGAAGCGTCAGCCAATCAAATCATATGCCAGTACAAGCTCTAGCCAATCAAACCGCTGCTTGTGTGTCAGGGGCGGGAGATTCATGTGATTGGTTGTTGGTCGAGCTTCAGACACGCCCGCCGGCAAGCTTTTTTTTAAGCTGTAGTGTGGACGGGCCGTTACATGTTTCCATCTTAAGCTTTGTTAGTTAGTTAGTTAGTTAGTTAGTTAGTTAGTTAGTTTCGTAACGGACGTCGTAATGTAACAGTTGTAGCTTTTCTCAGACGCGGAGGGATACTGACTTGTTGTGAAAAGTAACTACAATTCTACCCGTGACATACACTCATTATATCACGGCTAAGAACCAATCAGATTGCTTGATTTGACTTGTCCGTTTTATAAAGCAGTTTAGACGACAGTGATATACAGATTAACTGATATTGCCAAAAAAAGAAAGTATTACGTGAGAAATTGCAAGAGATACATCGTTTTCACTTGACTAAAACAATATTATAGACTACAGTAAAATACCCTTTTGTAAATGTGTTGTCACTACACAACATGGCCTCTCTACCTGACCCTTTAAACTTCTTTTGTTTTAAATTATATTATAATAAAACCATACAGACCTCATATAATAGCTAAGTAAGAGTAGATTATAACTTCAGAGTTCTTTAGAAATAGATGATTAATTTAAAGACTAATTGCAATGGTGGTTTAAATCTAAAACATGTGGTTGTAAATATTGAAATGCATGGAGTATAGGCAGAAAAAGGAATAATTCTATATGTTAAAATGAGTTCTGGTGAAGCAGATTAGCTCTTCTTTCATGTATAAATTGCATGACCAGCTGGTTGACTTCTTCAGGATTCATACGATTTCTCACTGCTCTCACATCGCCCGAGACTGATTGATTATTTACCCTCTGCCCCTCTTAGGTCTCGTTCTGTGTGATGACCCAGCTCAGGAAAAGTGTTTCTGAAATGTGTCGTTTACCATCCTTTTGTTGTGACTGTCATGTTCAAAAGAGGTTTAAAAAAAGCTAAGAAATGTGGATTATTACCTCCCTCACAGGACTTTTTTGGATACTTGTGTTCATATCTGAAAAAAAACAGACATAAGTGTAATGGAGTTTTTTTGAATGGTCCATCATGTGTCAGTGTTTTCTTTCTACAGACGCCTTGGATGGCACAATTGACAATAAATGAGTCCTTGAACACGTCATTGAGCTTTGGTGCTTTGAGGGAAAGCTTTACTACGTACTACGTACTACGACTACGACTACACACACACACACACACACACACACACACACACACACACACACACACACACACACACACACACACACACACACACACACACACACACACACACACACTAGGTGTTTTGACTTCTCTGTTATCGCTCTTTAAGGGCAGACTCCCCGCGGGGCACTTCATTTAAAATGTGGCTGAAACTCAACAAAAACCCACCTAACCAATATTGCCTTGTCTAAGTTATTCTCTCGGCTCGATCACTTTAAAAAAAAAAAACAGCTTGGTCGTAAAAGGTAGATATAAAAATACGAGATCTCCACATGCCAACTCTCTTTGTTCTTTGTAAAAAATAAACCCTTAATCCATCGAGGCATGTGTCGACAAGTGTTTTTTTTTTTTAAATTCAACCTGTCGAATATTCTGTAAAAACCAAGAAACGCCTGCAAAGAATCTACTCTTATAGCTTTGACAATAACTCCTTCTTATGACAGTCATTGCCAAACAGCTGGAGGTCATTTTTATAACCAGGCATTGGTGTGTTTTCCCTTTATCTCGCTGCCAGCCTCCACATCCCAGAGCCAGGAGGGAGCCGGCTTCTGTTCAAAGGAGCACATCCATCCATCCATCCATCATCCATCCATCCATCCATCAACCATCCATCAACCATCCATCAACCATCCATCAACCATCCATCCATCCATCCGTGTTTTTAAAGACGACAGCATGCATCCAAACGCAGCTCCTCGGTTGAACTGACTTAGGATCAGATCCAGACGCCTCAGGCACTAAAAACCTGTGCTTTAGCTGCAGAAATAGAAGCCATTTCAGCAGCTTCACGACATGTGTTTACTGAGACTCGTTCACTACCCTCTTCATGGAGACAACACATTAGCAATGTTGGCTAAAGCTGCCCCATTTACTGTTTTTGTGACAGTTGATCAGTGGGGACTGTCCACGACACGATCAACAAATAAACTTAAACTTAACTTAATTAACTTATGTAATCGTAACCCCTTTTCTCAAATGTATCTATACCACACCTTATACTCCAGAGTTTACCTGTAAACAAAGATATGCCTACATTGTTAACACTAGCCTCTAAATCAGGGGTGTCCAAACTACGGCCAGAGGGCCAAACTCACTCAGCAAATTCAAAAAGTATAATGACTTAAGTATAATAAACCTTTGCTTGTCTAATATTGTGCTCCTTAAATATATATGTTCAAATATATTACACAGTATTCATGTGTTAAGAAGCCCAATTTTCAAATAAATTCAGTCGAAAACATGTTCTAACTAAGATAAATTGATAAGAGAAAAGCCCAATAACATAACCTTTAAATACACCCTTCATATGTCTCCTCTTATGATCAGCAATCTGAAGCTTTTGTTTTAAGGAATGAGCTGCTAACAAAATAAATGGAACTCCATGGAGAGCTGTGGTGTAGGCTGTTTTTTTCTTACAGCAAGTATCAAGACTAATTTATCTACATTTGATTGATTTTTCCAACGTATAACTGAACTTATGAGGCAATATACTTCGAGCCAGCCCTTCGTATATTGTTCTATATGTGGCCCTCGGTTCGGGCTGTGCAATTAATCATATTTTAATCATCATTAAGATTTTGGCCTGCCACAATTACGAAAACAACATAATAATAAAAAACGATTATTTAGCTTTGCTTGGTTGTGACAGTGCACTGCAACACATTTGATCTAAATTATTTTAGTCTAATTTATTTGTATTTATCATATTTACATATG